TTCACCTTTGTACTGTACCGGCTCACCCCTTGCTTTGCTGGATACGTTCCACGCACAGATCTGTAGTCACGGGCAAATGCAAGGTTAAAAGAGGCCGCCAACCTCTTAAAAAAAAACAAAAAAACAGCTTATTTAGGATAACTAACATTTTGATTATTACCATGTACATTTTTGTATTGTAAAACTGTAAGAATATTATATTGTAAACACATAATTGTAAATATTCTTTTTTATTACGAAAAACTATTAAAAAACCACATAAAATACAAAAGGTGCTTACTTGTTGCCTTCTGATTCCACTGACCTGGAAAACTCAAGCGAAACATCATGATTTATACATCCATGGATCATTCTAGCTTCTCTGGCCTCACATTCTACATGTTGGAAAACGTATCCTACTCTCAGATGCATTAAGTAAAAGAATATGTTTATAAAATAAAAATAAATAAAAAACGCGTGGTAAATTTATTAAAATTATAAGTAATGTGCACGATTAAATAAATTTGTCTAAATTGCAAGGAGTATTTTGAAACTAAAACACTTGGTTTTGGTTAAAGTGAACACAACATTATTTATTTAAATCTGGTTCTAATTCTAAACATTTAGGTGATGAATATGTGGGTCTACTTCAAAATTGACTAAGGAGTAAATATATATAATTATATATCAAAAACAAAAGACTGCCCTTTTAGTTTATAAGTTATGTACACTTTAGAATTGTTTGTAAAAGGAATGTGATATAATCAGTGGTACCTTCCTTGCAGAACACTTGTAACAGCATGGCAGAATACAACAAAATGAATTGCTAAGCAATAACCGATATTCATTATTTTGTGGAAATAATATGAATATGATGAAGTAAATATTATGATTTAAAATAGTAGGAAAAATGGAAATGTTTAAAATAGTATGAATCATACGAATGCAGTTAAAACTTAATAAGTCATACTCGATGCATCAGATTCTATGAAACAAAATGTGTTGAAAACAAACTATGGTTATAAAAACAATAATTGGGGCCAAAATTTCCTTCCATTCTACTTACACCACAAACACAAATATGTAAACAAATTGGTCAATCTAAAAAATAATAACATAATCTTCCACTAAAAAACTAAGTTCTGTAATATTTTATTCAAAAGTATGTGACACATTTTATTTTTAATACTGAATTGTTAAAAATATTCACGTTTAGTTGGTTATTTCAAATCACTAAGGCTACCATAAAGCTGACTGTAATGTTGATTAATCATGTACGAAGCAATCAATTGAAGCACGGGAGCGTAAACTGTGTATAACCAACCTGGGTACACCACGGTATAAATTATTTTATAACAAAATCTAAAATTTTGTCAGTGTAAAAATCTTAAAAACTAATATAATTGACACGAACAATTTCTTTAAGATCGTCACTTTATATTTAAGATTTTTTAGAAGTAGGTATGAAGGTGAAATAATTACAATGATCTTTCATGCATCATCTTAGCTATAAAAAAAACTTCTTATAAACTTTGTATAACAATTAAGTTTTAAAGGATGTATTTTTAAAAGTATACAAATTTACATCTGTATAAATCACGCAAACTCCTTAAAAAATATCATGTTAAAAAATTCATTTGACTATAAAGCCATTAATGTGATCTCATACTAATAGGCTATTTTATATGGGGATATGTAAAGCTTCTTGTTCATGCCGATACACCTACACCTTTACCGATGCTTATACGGTGGAAGTTATAAGCCAACGTCCGTAATGTGATTGGCGTATATACGACTCCAGCTGCTGCAAAAGCTTATCGAAAACCGGACTTTCAGATTTTAATTCAATCGTGCATAACACGACGGTAAATATCACCATTAATATTTTTTTGGCAATAAAACACATTTAAAGCAAACTATTTAAGAGAAATAGTGTTTGAGAACTAGCATTAACTGTAATGACAGACTGGAAAATAGAAGAAACTCATAAAAGTTAATTAAAAGTTAAATTATACTTTTAAAGAATATAACATTGGCTAAAAGTTTTAAAATCTTAGGTCTGTAAACGAGATGTTTAGCAATATATTGCAATAGTATATTGCGTTTAATAATATGGAATGGCGTTGACCGTTGATAATAGTTATTTGTGCAACTAGTGAGAAAAGTGAGCAATTGACTCACTCGAGAGGAATGGTTTCTCGAGTGAGGCAATTGTACTTTGAACTCGAGTTGCACATTATACTTTTCCTAAATTTACCATAAAACAAATAAATTTGTGAAGAAACATAACCTATTTTTACACAGAAGTGAACTTTTAATATAACATTTAATGTGAAGTGACAAATACAACAGTACAACAGCTGACCAGCTGATTTACAGCCAGTGCTGCCAACGTATTTCGCGCGCATACGACATTGCCTGCATGTTACGCGCTCACTATTTCGTGCCTTTATGTTGCAAATCTGGAGTGAGACAAAGTAATTAGAGTGAGACAATGTTAACATTGTCTCACTGATGAGCGAATTGGCCACTTTGCTTTCTCAAATCAGTGAGAGAACATGTACATTGTTAGATAACTGTAGGAAAAATAAATAATTAAATAAAACGTGCAAAGCGTTAAATATTCCAAATATAATAATTGTTATACATAACACCAACGATTTCCAGCCACAAAAAAATACTTATATCTCCATTAAAATCTGCTTTGGTTAATAAAGAAAGATTGTACTAAACAAGTCTACTTATTTACAGTAATAAGAAAAATATTTCCTCAGACATTTATACACCTTTGGATAGGAGTCAATTTTTATTTTTATTAGCTTATTTAGCTAAAAAGCAGAACCAAATAATGATGAGCTCTCTCAAGAATAGCATTATACCTACTAGTAGCCTATTTAGGCTGCTTAGTAGCTTGGGTCGAATGATGTGTCAAGATAGTGTGTATAAGTCGTGTTAGTTACTGAAAACTTTCAGAACATATTATGTAGTCACGTATGTAAAATGTACAATTCAAAACCCTCATAACATCCCGTTTCTTGGAAGTTAGATAATCTTCACTCAAAATTACTCAGAGTTTATCTTTAATAACATTTCTGACGCGAGTATGAATTAAATCCGACAGCAGATAGACTTAAGTGGCATATGCAAAATTTGTCACAAAGTTAAAGCTCTTTTATAATCTTAGTTACAAAGCGGAAAGCATTAAGCTTCCTTAGTAAATTTTCAACCGTAAATTTGATATAGAAACGGATTTTACTCTCATTATGTTTTCATCGGACCTAGAATACATTACACATTATTCATAAGGTATTTTAGACATTTTCGTTTACTGAAGTACTTTTACAGTATTCCATTATATCTACAACAGCTCATTCCTACATGGGAAATTCGCCAAAAAATATTCATTCGAGATCGTTGCCTAAAATAAGACTCTAATATAATCGCAAATAATAATCCAGAATGGCATTCATTTTATCAATCTGTCAAAGTTTCACACTAAAATTCTATTTAATTTAGGAACATTTGTAATGAAGGGTAGTCACAACTTTTTTTCTTAATCCTTACTATACGTATCAGTGTAAAGATAGATGGCATTAAGACAGAGACAGTCTGACATCCAGGCGGCTTTACGTTATCAACAGTCTGCAGCCATTTCCCCCCCAACACCCTGGAACTTTTCTTCTTCTTCCCCTATCTTCTATCTTTACTATCCAAATATAAATTAAAATTATCATTTTATACCCAAAATACTTAAAAGGATCCACATGAACCGTGATATAAAACAGTTTAGTTACAATACCAGACTCCAGAATCTGTGGATACCGATATTTTTAGTATTATCCAAATATTTAAGGAAAAAAATAAAACCTTTTTTAATTAACATGGTTATGGACGAACTATTGAATAAAAATGACGAAAAGACTAAAATCAAAATGCAGTAATCCATTTTTTACCAACGAAGTAAAATTTCTCAAGGACTTCCCAAAAAAATTTTTTTTGGCGTTTAAAATAGTTAGATACATTAATTATATGACAAGTAAGGGGTATATTTATTGTCGGGAGTTGAAAAAGGTTTGAAATCCGTAAAGTTAATGATTTTGTGTTACATACCATCACTTGTCTTTGTAATAACCGTCCCAGTACCTAGTGTTTACAGATTTCTTTTTAATTAAAAAGTTGTAGGAATGTATTTGAAACACAAAATTATAATTATAATAATAATAATAACAATCCTCGGTAATATGTTTTTGGTTAATCACCCAATATATTTCACTTTTGAAAAAGCTCTACAACCCTAAATAAAAAATAATTACAAGTCTATATCCATCTTACTTTGGTGAAAATTTCAAAATTCTGATATTATATTTAATTGAAACTACGTATATAAATAAGCTAAAAACTGGCATCTATTCAAAGTGTGCTATAATGTGTAAAAATAAATTATTATGATTGTTTTTTTACCCGTAGAGGGAACCCAGTTACTGTGACCAGACCTAATTTGCTTATGTAAGTAAATAACGGATAATTAAAGTTCTTGGAAACGATCTTTAAGTTAAATAGTTTTTTTTAGCGTTAAATTGTTTGTAATTTCCCCTTAACATGTTAAATTGTAAGCTACTAGTTGCTGTTTGCTTGGTATTATCCAGAAACACCGCTAAAAAAAATTACGTTAAAACTGTGTATTTTAGTTTTATTCGTGCGGTAATTTTTGATATAATAACTTTTTACATTTATAAACTGATAGCATGGCCAGATATCATTGAAATAAATTAAATTGATTGAATTGAATTGATGAATATGAAAGGATCAATCGTACGTAAAAACTTGAAAATAGCTTCATAGCTTAGTTTCAACACAGCTCTTTCCTCTTGAAAGAATTTTAAAGTTTGTTAATTATTATTGTTCTAACCAAATATTTACCGTCAAATTAACGAAATCAAAACACACATTTAGATAACGTATCATTGCTAGTTTATCTAAGTGTTTGTTTTAGAATCATCATAGAAAGACAGTGAGTTTTGTTCTTCGCAGTTTAATAGGACTCTTTCAAAATGAATGTGCAAACGGGAATGCTTACGGATCCAATAATGGAGGAACTGATGTATCAGCAAAAATACAAAGATCCAATGGAGCCAGAAAATATCGAGGAGTATTGTGATATAAATGTTCCAGTAAGTTAGTAGTTTTTATAAGTATCACATGAATAAGCTCAGATAAATAAATTACAAGTTAGATTTTTCAAACTCAGCAATAGATTACAGTAAGGTTTCATCAGATTAGTGCAAATATTTAGTAAAACAAATACATAATTGAGGTTTGTTTGGCTAAAATGCTTTTAATTTTTATAAATAAAAAAATCTGCGGATGTTTTCTTTTATCAAATTCGCATTCACAATCTTTTTTGAGTTAAATGTGTTTAGTTTGACGTTTTGAACAAAAACGCTTATACGAAATCAATACATAATTAGAACACATTAGAATACATTACACAAAAGTTCGATACCTAAAATTCCTGATTTTTAAGCGTTCAAAACGACCCTTACTTTTTACTAGTATGTAAATAAAATTTAATTATAATCCAAGAGCACAACTGTAATATTACAAGAGCACAAATTACTTGGGATGCATGTTAGTTCAGCTTTGGAATAATTATTACCGTCTGGTGCATTGCAGATGGCTTCCTGTTGTCTGTATAGCGGATCCTGGATTAGTACAGAACGTACATGTTACTTCTGCCACATGTTAACTTTACAAGCATTGTCTACATGTTGCAGACACCTTTGTTCATGTTTATATACAAGTTACGTAATGCTATGTATACACACTTGCACAATCTTGCTCATAATTTCTTAATTTCAAACAGTTTTAGGTAAATTTATTATTACAAAAAATTAATAAAAGATTTTTATATCCTCGCATCAACAGTGTATATTTATTGTTTAGAAATCAATAAACACTCCAAAAAGTAGGCCTTAACACTAATAATTAGCCTTGAATTACGATTCTAAAGATTGATAGCACAAAATATCTTTTTTGAAAAAAAATACTAATTGACAATAAAAATCCAAAAAATTAAAAATTAACAAAAACAGTATTTTAATTTTAATCCAGGTTGTTTATGTTTTGATTTGTACTGTGTTGAGCTTGCAAAAGGCAAATCTTCAGATTCTTTCTTCATCTGATGCCTTATTAAGGTTAATGAACAAACCTGCAATGCGGATTAATTTGCATTAAGAACAAAGAAGAAACTAGATTAACTCCTCTGTAAATGGTGCGCTCACTTACTTTTTCACTTTAGAGGGTCGCAATTAAAGGATTTAAAGTTAGATACGGATTTTAATAAGCTTCTTCGTCTTTAATGCACCTTTTCTTGATTGTAAAGTGAGGGTAATAGTTTGTCCTGTTAATAGTGTATTGGCTAGTACCAGTTATGTATTTTAATACATTTATTACAACAAATTATTACGCAAATATACATAATTGTGACTTTTTTGTAACTGTAAATTTTTAGTTCGAATTTGATGCTCTTAAAATTTATTATTTAAAGCTCAGAGGTTTATTATGCTTTATATTTATTTATCACTAGGCAAATATACGTAAGTAGTATGTTGAAAACAATAATGTCAAAAGATCTTTTTAAAGACACAAATTTATTAAGGGTAGGTTAAATTTTGTATCCGAGGTAATAAATAATATACTTAAAGGGGTTCAATGATTTTTTATATGTTCAGCACATTAAATATGACTTAAACATCAACATTGTATAATTGCGGAAATATTTATATCACAAATGAATGGATTTTGGAAATGTTTCACTCTTAAAACGACCCTCCAAGAAAACCATTTTGGCTTTAGATGCGATTACATTTCAGTTCACTAACAACAATATGTCCACTCATGATAGCCATCTTGATGACAGTTGAAAAAATGTGTTCTAACAAGTAAAAAAAAATATTATTAGACAGGTCATAACAAAGGTACATGTTTCCTATCAGTTAAGTTAAATTTCTTGTTCACAGACTATAATGAACCTAAGCCTATTTCACTAGATCTTGTGGTCACAAAATTTGTGTTGTTTATACAAGTTATTATAGCGTGTAAGAAAATACTGGGAAGGTAAATTAGGGTACCTAACCTTGCAGGCATACAGCGCTACACTAAATACATGTATAAAAAGTAAATATGTTATAAATCATTGAAACAACCTAGGTTAGCTAAAAGAACATCAGCCAAACCAAATATTAGATGTGAACATCAGCTTTAAGAATAGCAAAGAAAATAAAAAAAGTAAAAAGGTCAAAAAATAAATAATATATATACGTGTTCGAGTATTTGGTGGTGAATCTACGTAGAGAAGGTCGATGAAAGAATAGGGACTAAAACGTAGTTAGATATAGGGTTCAATTGAAATTAAAAGGTTGTCAGAGGATGTAAATGGCAATATTTTTACAAGTGAACAAAATCCTTTAAGAGAAATGTTTACAGCAAGACTTTATTTTGGAAAATAAATTAGAACCATCATCAAACACGGGATTTTAGGGCACATTAATCAAACAGAACAAATTATTGATAATTATAAAATTGAAATTCATACTTACTTTTAATACTTTTCATTTAAATAACGACAATGCAAATAAGTAGGTATTTTAAGCCATGTTTTAATTAGTCTAGTTGCCTATTTCTATCCTTGCCTATTTTAGTAATGTAGGTCTTGAAGAAACAGAAAAAAAACTAAAAAACATTGGGTAGACCTTACTTCCAGGGTTTTTGACCTGCAACCAGACTAAATAGAGATGAGTATAGGATGAGTGGCACGACCTTGTAGTCTTGATAGTGACTATTGCCAACATATTCTTTAGACACAGCTGTTAATGGCCCATGCAGCCCATACAACTAATGGCAATTAAGTGACTACAATTTATAGTGAAATCCGGACCACATTTTTGCTTTGGTATTAACGAATTGGTCTAATTATTAGGATAGTACTGCGGATAGTCGTATAAATCACTAGTGTGGACGTTAATCCACCAGGGTTACCTTTCATGACCTCATAGTAGCTGGTCACGATTAAATTGTTGTTCAGAAATTAACGTATTTCAACGTCTTCTGCATGACTCATAAAAGTTCTAACGATCTTAGTAAAGAAATGTCGTATGTTTTTAATACTAAATTTATAAAATCTGTTACAGCCACCAAAGGGGTGGAAGTTTGTGAGGCGGCCGAATGCTGTTACAAGAGACGGTTGGCTTCCGCGAGTGCCGAAGTCGACTGTTCGACTTACCAACGTTCCTATCAAGAACATTATCCTGACCTACGACATAGGCACACCGTTCTGCAAGGATCACAGAGCGTGCATTGATACCATCAAGCTGCATCAACATATGCAAATGGAAGAGATGAACCTGCCAGATATAGCTTACAAGTAATTTTGTCTTTTTTGATTTTTTTTATAATTTCATAATTTAACATTTATGGGCAAGAATATATTGTATTTAATATATACAGCACAGAAGTTGAGTTGATGATTTTAGCAAGTAAAATACACGTTAGGCTTATATTTTTTTATGTGGATATACGATAAAAAATATTGACAAGTCACTTCAAATTAATAATAATTTATTTGGTAACGGTCAAAGCAGTGTCTTCTCCAAACACATTTTACTTTTAAAATGTAAGAGGAATACATTAAATATTCGAAATTTTGTGAATCATTTTTGATACAATTATTTTAACAAGGTTCTTTTGTGGGCAAAGTATTTATGAGTATACTACAACAGACATCTTAAGCCTATTCGTATTATTATATGGTATTATTATAGTGTATGTTTCCAGCTTTTTGGTAGGAGGAGACGGAAAAATATATGAAGCAAGAGGATTTGAATATCTACCCGAGAAAAACGCACAGTTTCCCGAACTTTATGGAAATAGTATCGAAATAGCTTTTATCGGAAACAATGGTAAGTACCATGATATTTTAATGTCTATGTAGTTAAGTGTTAATGTATTTTATAGCTTAAACAATTCAACAAAAAGGGTTCTAAATGAATATTATTAAATTGTATCTGGTTTGGATGTGATTATTTTTCTACATAATGAGTAAAATACGGAGAAACACGTTAAAAATACACTGCTACGGTATGTATGCTACTCAAATATTCTCTAGTGTATATATTTTATAATTTGTTTAACACATTTTTAATAACAAGGACGGTAATAGTAGTTTACGCAACGATTGCGTTAAGTTAGTCTTTACGACACGAGTAGATCATTTAAAAACTTCTACGAGTGCCGTAAAGATTATTAACGCAAGTTGCGTAAACTACTTTACCTTCGACCGTTTTTTAATTACTAACAATCTGGTTTTTAATTACTAATAATCACTACTCATAACTTCTTAGAGGCTATGTTTTCGTTTATTGTCATTGCCACTGAAAATGATGCAACGACTTATTGTATAATCAGCTGATTTCATGTAATTACGTGTTTGTAACACTTCGTTAAATAATACGTTACTATTTTAGGGAATAGGTTCTGCTAGCAGCATTCTTACCATAAATACTGTATCAGGTACAATTAGGGATATATTGCATATTTTTTGACAACTGAACAATATAGTATATATATTCTATCTCAGCATTGAATATGTGGTCCACAACAAATTGGGTGAAAAATTGGTTAAGTGGTTTTCAAAATAAACCAGAAGCACATTTATTTTCATTTATCAATTTAACCTTATTTTTTCGTCCATTTAATGAATTGCTGGTAAGTAATTTCATACTTTTGTTTCGATTTTGGTGGCAAAAGATTAGCACAATTCGTGCTCTCATTTCCATCTCTTAATCTATCTTCCCTTTAACTTCCACCAACTTAGGTTAAGAATACGCGAGTAACAACAGGAACAAGTCGGATCAAAAACAATTAAAATTGTCAACTGATCAGCTGATCAGCTGATTAGTTGACGTTCGAAGCATTAAAATTTTACTTCTTTTCTCTCAATCCTTGAACTTCATTGGTCCGTCACCCGTGTTGTTATGAGAAAAACTATGCTGTTATGAAATGAAATTATGCTGTTATTAAAGTTAACAGCTGTTAAGTAAACCTTTTCAATTCTAAGAACTTAACTGAAATGGCTACTTAAAAAAAACTGGCGTAGGTAAACGGTATTAAAACATAAGTAGATATTACGGTTTTTGCTGAGAGGGCTAAGATTGACTAAAAATATATATCGTGATAAGTTTGAAGAAGTGTAACAGTGTCATGTAAGTAACGAAATTTTCATTTACAACTCAGCAACGATCAAACTACAATTACTATATAACATTTTATGTGATTGTTGCAGCTAATGAAGTTCCTAGAGAGGACTTTATGAACCTGGTCAAGTTTTTGAACCACGCAACATACGTCACTCACGATATATCCAAACAGCATATGATCTACGAATCTGAGCCAAGGTTTCTCATAAATAGTGCGTTTAGCAGAAGATAATAACATTTTCTTGAGTTTAAACTAATCATCACATTCATCATATTTAACCATTCCAATAGTTTTAAATGTAAGTGAAAATATATTTATTTATTTTACTTTGAGGTTTTATTTTAGGACCCGCCTTACTAAGCTTTTATCGATAATGGTTTTTTATTGGGTATCTTCAGTAATCTTGGTATTTTTACTGTTTTTTGCATGCGCCTGTGTAATACGCAACACACCTGTTTGGGTTTGCGTAAAGTGGACCTTTATTTGTCTGCAATATTAATTGATGGTTACACGGCAAAGGGAATCTGATAGTGCAAGCCTTCGTGAACGAACCATGGACCTTTAGATATAAATGGGAGTACTAAAGTAATAACGTAATATATTTGTAACACAAATTAATAGGCTTTAGAATGGAACCATCGCACGTAGAACAACGTACGTTATAAGTAACTGCCTAAATTAATCATGCAATTGTACTGATCTTATGTGGACCACCAGTACTATCAGTGAGTAAAACAATCAAAATTATCTTAATTGACATGTTCGTCGGTATCTTGAATTCTAGGCTTATAACTCCAAATTGAAGTGTACGGAGCAATTGTAAAAAAGTACTGTATAGAATATGGTATAGGATTTGGTGAGTCAGTGGCTCAGTTGGTAGCGTCACAGTCCACGGTCTTCTGGCCCTAGTGATGTCGTGGGTTTAGATCCTGGTCACTGCCTCAATCATTTTATCAGTACAGTTCACCTTCGTACTGTACCGGCTCACTCCTTGCTTTGCTGGATACGTTCCACGCGTAGATCTGTACTCTATGTGGACGGGCAAATGCAAGGTTAAACAAGGCCGCCAAACTAAAAAAAAAAAAAAAAAACATAAGATTGGGGGGTGTAATAATAATCATTATTTTATACCTTGATCAACCAAAAATTTTTATTTTGAACAAAAATTTTAATTTAAAAGAAACTGAAGAGTAAGTTAATAACTTATTCTAAACAAGCTAGAAAACGTAACAGTAAAATTGGCCGAATCGTCAGGCAAAAAAATGTCCTGGGATGGGTAGTTTAATTTTACGACAACAGTTGTAAATCTATTTTCAGATTTAAAGACGGTTATAATATACAGAGATATGTGGGTTTTAAACTGTGTGGATCTTAAACATGCAGGGGAGTACTATAGTAATACCGTTTTGTAATATCTATAACAGAAATTAATAGTATAAAAAAAGGCTTTTGAATGGAACCACCGCAAGTAGAACACCGTACGTTAAAAGGAACAGCCTAAAATAATCATACAATTCTACTGATCTTATGGGGACGATGTGAAGGTGAAAATTAGTCAAAGTCAAAATATAATTCTTGAAAAAAAATATTCAACGACTTTTCGCAAATCAGCGTACCTTAGCGATGCAGATAAAAAATAAGCTCTCATATATTTTTAGCTATGTAAACGACACCACTTAAATTCACGAATCAAGGTTCGAAAAAAACTACTCGTCTTTGTATAAGTTAAAGATTTTATATATTTAAACATTGAGCAAGAAAACTGTTTTTTTACAACTACAGGTAAATGTAAAGAACCCGTATAACTGGTTGATTGCTTTTCTTTGCCTCATTGAAACATTTTGTAAATGGAGTGTCACGACGTCCCGCAGAATTGCTTTGGTGTAAATTTGGTTTATAGGTGATTCTTTACCTCAAAACTTTGAAGCAAAAATAAATTAAATGTAATTTAATTCGATTATTTAAAATTTTCCATTTCATATTTTTTAATCAGAATCACAACTACAAGTAGAAAAACGAATTGGAAAAAAAATACGCGAAATATATGATCTAGCAGGCATTTTACTCTGTGGAGGAATTCTTCGAATTCATGGAAAGTAAGAAACAAAACCAGCCACTTCACCAATTCGCATGTGTGTGCGTTTTGAGTTTTTTAACGACAAGGCCCATTCCACTCTACTGGTCAATGGTTGCTTTCTTCAAGGTATCTATTGATCAGTAATGGCATGTGATGGGATAATACCTGAAGAAGCTATTTATAAATAAGTTAACAATTGCTGACAATAAACATGAAATAATGGATACGTCAACTGAATAGGAAGGTAGAAAACCCAGATTTGTTTAATAGCCCTCATCCAATCAAACCCGAGTTGGTTATATTCACATACGAACAAGGCAATGACCAATTACCAATTTCCAGATCATCCAATCAGGAAGGCAGAGTTTTTGTACATAGCACATATACCTATAACCTAAGTTTTCTACTACAAGATGTAAGGTTGATACACCTATTTGCCCTACCACTATTTTATAAATGGTTCTGTTTTCTGGTGCGATTATTATTCAGAATAATTGATAAACAATCACTTCATGACCATGTTCCTGACTAGTACGTTTTGATTGCTCATTCCGCATCTGACAATGTAAATGTTGGTGACGAAGAGGGAAGTATTTGGGAAATGCAAGGTATTTGTAATTAATTATAATGAAAATTGCCGTCAGTTACAGCAGACGAAACCGTCAGCCCGTAGCACTAAACTGTCAATACATCACTTAGACTAACTGAACTGATTACCTCAAACGATTGGATTTAAAATTAAATATATAATGAAGAGGACAATATTGTTGATTTATATTCTATGTAGTTATTTTTTAATTGTCATAGACAGCCATTAAATAGGCTAGTGACAGTTTAATATCTTTAAAGCATGATTATTCATACTTCAAGGGCTGACTAGTTACAAATAATATTGGATGTAGTGTTTTGGTCGTAATTGACTTAAGTAAAAGTAATTTTAAAAAAATACTTCCTAAATAATCAAGACAGGTGTATCATTTAAGTAAAACCCGGTTACTACACTGTTTAAATACATTTTATTTCATTATACCTTTTTATAGCATTTATCCGTTTTGTGTTCAAAGAAATGCCTATCAACAGTTTTACTTTAACCCATTTTATTTAATCAAGGTAAATTTATTAGGAAGGCCTAGTTAAAGCCCAACCAATTACCAAATGCATAGAATTTCTTGATTATATCATGTATTCCATGACCATTTGGCTTAAAGGCTTTTAATAATAAAAAATTAAGTATTTTTAAGCTGTGGAAAGGGGCATGGCCACCATTTAAGAATTAGTAACATTTAAAATCTGATACTTCCTCCAAATATTAGATATACCCGTCACTACTTACGTAAATAGTTTCAAGTCTCCGCTTAAGGAGTTCAAAAGTTATGGATTGATTTGTGAATATCATAGCCATAATGTTATAACACTGCACCTAAACAATATAAAAAAAATCATTAACCTTCGCACTATATAAACAATTAGCCTAGTAAACTTAACTGTAAACAACCCTGCTTTGACAGGTATCATTGCGTATCTGAGCTTTTTGTTGCTGCTTAGTTCAAATTATCTGTTGTCATATATGCAAAAAAATAATAATAGTGCTGCACCCTGTTTGTGCACCTTATTCCTTTTTAAGGCTATTGCATATCATGGAACGTTGTATTAATATTCAAAGATAGACCTATAACCAACTTGTTAAGTTGAAACAACTGACTATATAACGACTTATGAATACTCATAAGGTTAACATGGGAAATTATCAAGGCCACACAAAAAAACTAAACAAGTTTTTTTTTTGTGTGGCCTTGGAACTAAAGAGCCACTGGAGCGGAGCCCGAAAGGATTTTTGAGATAAGAATATGCCTATTTTTTAATCGGGAATGTGAGCTACCATGATGAACAATTTCAGCCCAATCCATCCAGAAGTTAATGCGTGATTGAACTCCACACAAACAAACAAACATACAAACTTTCACATTTATAATATTAGTATGACAAAAATTACACGATATTGACCCCAACGGACAAAGTGAGAACGACTCAAAATATCTGTTACTGCGTCCAGTCATATGTACATTGCAATTCTATATCGCGATGCATTCTTATTATTTAGGTTATGTTATCACTGAAAAATAAAACAGAAACTAATGAAAACACATAAAACAACTACTATTATAAAACAGGACCACAAGTTCTTTCGCACCTTTGATTATTTCATAAGTTAACCGAATGATATGGTTGGTAGGAAATGAGGTTTGCTTAATAGCCTCATCCAATCAAAACTGAGTTTGCTATATTCACAGATTAACTAGTCTGTGACCAATTAACTACGCAATACCAATTACCAGGTCATCCAATCAGTGAGGTGGAGTTAGCATACTCAGCTTAACGTGTGTAACAATCATTTATTGAAATTTCTTGCTACGGTCAAATACTAAGTGAATACACCTTGATCATATTTTATTAAAACAAAGGAAAAATGGTTTTTTATGTTGGTCAAATATAAAGCCTTAACCGTTTGATTGTCTAATTAATTACTATAACTAAAAGGTTGGTTATGAATCAGAAGCTAAGTCCGTACTTCCTGAGGACACAAGAGAGAGAAAAATTACATGCAACAATAATTATAGGGTGGTAAAAAAGTCCCTGGACAGTTAAATATTTTAAAAAATAATGAAGATAGAGCTACAATGCTTGGTACAAAGTTACAGGGCATAAAATTCTATTTTAACACATATTCAGTGATCCAATAACTCTTCAGGGGGACGGCCCACAAGGAGTCGGAAGAAGATCTTAAATGGAAGCATAGGTCAATATGCACATCAAATTAAAGGTCTTTTTTAGTAGAATACAATGCCGCAAACCGCACTTCAAAAGGTTGATCCAGCGCAAAATGGCAGATGTTCAAAGATTTCTTGAATCCGCCATTTTGAATCTTTGAACGACTGCCATTTTTTACTCAGGCATTTTTTTGAGCTTGAATTTGCGGCATCGTAATCTACAAGTGAAGACCTTTAATTTGATGTGCATATCGACCTATTTTTAGGTTTACAATTTTCTTCCGATTCCTAGGGCTGAGCCCCCTGAGGAGAAAACGTATAATAGCAATGTTAATTAAATGAATCTTTGAACAACTGTCATTTTGCGCAGGATCAACCTTTTGAAGTGCGGTTTGCGGCATTGTATTTTACTAAAGATGACCTTTAAT